ACGTCTGTTCTTGGGGGCCTCTGGAGGCGTTCTTGGGGCGTTTTGGCTGCGTCGTCGGCCGTCCTGAGGCCATCTTCGGCGTGTCCGGGGAATCTGGGGGCTGTCTTTGGGCGTCCTGGGAAACCGGAAATCCACCGACCCTGTCGGCGTGTGTGAGGGGCTTCTCCGTTCGACTCGTCGTCTCCGTCGTCTCCGTTCTCCCCCTCCCAGGGCTCTCCTCCTCAAGCGCGCTACCCAAAGCGAAATTAAGCGACGTCGTAGTGGAATCGAAGGGAAGCCCCTTCCCTTTGATCCCTTCCCCGCAGGGGGGGGGGAGGGGGGGGGGGGGGCCCGGGGCAGATACGACGCCCGCCGGGGCGCACTTTCCTCGAGCGGGCACGCACGGGATGCACTTCCTCCTCCTCCTGGTCCTCCTCCTCCTCCTCCTTTTCCTCCTCCTCCTCCTGCTCCTCTCCTCCTTCTCCTCCTCCTCCTCCTCCTCCTCTTCCTCCTCCTTCTCCTCCTCCTCCTCCTTCCGCAGAGGCGTCCCGGGAGCGGGCCCCGAGTCAAAATACCACCCCCCTAGGGCGCATTTTCCTCGAGCGGGCACGCCCGAGATGCACTTCTTCCTCTTCTGGGAGCACGTCCCAAGTGAGAATATCACACTCCCGGGGCGCACTTTCTTCGAGCGGGCACACAAAGGATGCACTTCCTCCTTCTCCTCCTCCTCCTCCTCCTCCTCATCCTTCTCCTCCTCCTCCTCCTCCTCCTCCTGCTCCTCCTCCTCCTTCTCCTCCTCCTCCTCCTCATCATCATCCTCCGCTTCCTCCCCCCACTCCTAGCCCTTTCGATCAAGGTCGGCGGCACCGGCCGTCAGGCCTCTCCAATCATGTTCCCGGAGAGGCTTCCGTGAACATCATTCGAACGAGGCCCTCTTGGGCCTCCTGGAGGCAGTCTTGGGGGCCTCCTGGGCCGGCTTTGGTGCCTTTTGGGCCGTCTCGGGAGGTTCCGTCAGCCCCACGGGACGACCCTTTCGGGCCGTCTTGGGCCCTCTTGGGTCTCTCTTGGGCTGTGTTGGGGCTCCTCGGGGGCGTTTCTGAAAATGTACGTTTTACGTCGGGAATGGGCCGGCTGTTGCATCTGAAGGCCCTCTTGGGGCCCTTTTCGGCCATCTTGAAGCCATCTCGGTCGCTCTCGGGCCTCGCTGAGGCTGTCTTATGGGCCTCTTGGGCGTCCTCGGAATCCGGAAATTATGTTCCTGGAGAGGTTTCCGGGAACATGATTTCGAACGAGACTCTCTTGGGCCTCCCTGAGGCCGTCTTGGATGCCTCCTGGGCCGGCCTCTTGGGCCTCTTGGGCCGTCTCGGGGGGTTCTGTGAGCGCCACAGGCCGTCCCTTTTTGGCCGTCTGGGGCCCTCTTGGGTCTCTCTTGGGCTGCGTTGGGGCTCCGCGGGGGCGTCTGGGGCATTGTGAAGACGAAGCCAGCGAGTTTGCTGAACATGTGCGCTTTACGTCGGGAATGGGCCGATTTTTTCCTCTTGAAGATCCTCTTGGGGCCCTCGCCAGCCATCTTGAAACCATCTCGGGTCATCTTGGGGCGCTCTTGGGCGTCTTCGGGGCCTCTTGGGTTTTTTGTTGGCCATCTGTACGGCCCGCGTGGCCTGTCGTGGGCAATTTGGAAGCGGCCCGGGGCAGTCCCAAGGGGCCTGTGACCCCCAAAAGTCCCGGGGGGGCGCCCATGGAGGATGATGGCACCGGCCCCCCCTGGCCTACTCACTCACTCTCTCACACACACATTCTATATATATATAGATATCACAATTGAAAGTTGTATTCGTAGTATTATTAGATGCGTATACGTATACATATACACAATTACATGTATATAAAACACATATACACATACATGTGCATATACATGCACATAGAATGATAATATTAACGTTATAAGCATGTCCATATACACCCAAACATACATACATGTATACATACAATCATGTGTTGTACTTACATACATACATACACATATGCATATACACATGCATACACAGTTACCTGGAACATTAGTATACGTACGCTACATGCATTACATACATACGTACATACATGCATACACACATATACACATGCATGTACACAGTTACATAATACATACATATATATATATATATATATATATATATATAGATAACTGCATGCATACATCCATTGCCTTTGTTCGGTGTGGAGTTTGCTAAAGGCTCTCCTTGGGGCCACTTTTTCGTCCTGATGTTTTCCCAGACGGTCCAGGGTCTGGGACCCAGCGAAGGCTCCTGGAGGCCGGCACCAGCGGAACAAACAACATTCCATCGTGTTTGTCCTCGACGCGCCGATGTCTGTGACATGGCGAATTGAAACAACGACAGCTCGCAATCGATCCGTGGAACCCTCCTACGGTCAGAAACACACCAGCTGTCCGAGTTGCGTCCAGCAGCGGCGACGAACGAAGCGCCCCCCGGAGGGCCAACTACCGTTGGCTCAGCTCGCCTTCCTCTGAGCTTCATTAGAAAACAAGTCAAAAAAAACGGCTGATAGTCCCCACAACGCCCAAACGCGCGCCCGATCGCGCGTAAAGCAGCCATGACAAATGCCCCTCGCATGGCGTTATATCGGGCTGTATTGGCCATTTTTGGGCGCTGCTTGAGCGCTACTCGGCGCTAGTGGTCGGTTTGGGGCGCCATCGCCGATGCAGTCGGACTTGACTGGAGAGGACACGCGAGAGGACACAAGACCCTTCCAAAGGCCACGTTGCCACAGGAATGCAGAAAGCATGGCTTGCGAAACGCAGGGCGAAACTGCATCGTCGATTTAGCAGGATGATTTACTAGTCAGGGCAGACTATACACAAGTCAACCCAAGACGGGCGGAAACTTCCGTGACTACCTATCTGGGCTTCCCGCGTAGCGAGAAATACGTCCCAAAAGGCTTCCCCAGCCGCCGCACTCCTCTCTTCCGCTGCCACCGATTGTCTCAGCTCTCCCTCCTCTTTGAGGGATGCAAAAACGCCCCTACCCTGGGTTACAAGTGCGTGGTCTGTAAACCTCCTGGGAGCTCCCAAAGGCCAGAGAGCCGCCAGGACGCCGCGCGGCACGCGCGATCTGCAGGGTTTACCTTGTCAGCCCACAGGAGGTTCAGCGCACAACGCCTCGTAATCCAGGGCAGGGGCGCCTCTTACGCCCTTGACCTCTGAGCTTCCGCCCTGGCGACGCGACGAAGACCAAGCGGCGAAGGCCCCTGCTGACCCCCGGCCGCCCCGCCATCGCACGGACGTCCCTTCCCCGTGCATTCTTCGGCTCCGCACGCGCATCTTATCGCAAGAGGACCCAGTTGGCTCCTCAATGGTCTCCGCCGAGCGGTGCCAAGCCCCTTCTTTTGTTCGTGACGCGCGCGCTGAACGGTCGTGGCGCCACGCGGCGGCGGCCAACGCCTGGACAGGCGGTGCCCGGCTCAGGCGAACGCAACTAATCGGGGGGGGGCGCCACACGCGACCCGCTCAGGGGAGTGCAGGACCGCGCGTGACGGGCAGCTGACTCCGCAAGCGCCACTGCCCACAGGAGCGAACGGCCGCGGGAAGCGGCCTCCCCGAGAGGGTCGTCTCCGCCCTTGAAAGGCTCCCGCCGCCGCTTCTGCGCAGAGGCCGGGCGGCGTGCGCGGATACGGGGGGCGCGTGGGCCTCGGGGGGGCGGCGAAGAGGGGGGAGGACAGGCCCACGTCGCCGTGGCCCGGTTCCGCGAGGGACAGCACACGCTTTTTAGGTCTCGGCTGGTGGCCACTGAAGCAGGACACGCGTGTTGTATGGCCACCGCTGGCCGTACAAAGCCGCGCGATGTTCCTGGTAGCCATACAAGGCGTGTGATGCTCCATCGTGCCCTATGGCCACCCGTGGCCCTAAAAAACGTGTGGTGTTCCTTGCATGCCCACTGGCAGCCTTAGGTCGGGCATGTCCTCCTACAAGCGGATTTGAGGAAAAATAGAACATGGTCCGTCCAAAAGTATTCGACAATGGACGAAGATAGTCAAAAAAATCGTGCCCTGACTATTTTTTGACAATTTTTGAAGATTCCTCCTACAAAGGGACACGCCTGACTCAATGGTAGCCATCAGAAGCGTGTGATGCTCAACCCACGGCGCGAAGTCGATACATCGACTTCGCGCCCTGGGCCTGCCCCCGCGGGTCCAGGGGCCCGCAGCGGGCCTCGGGCCACTCGAGCCTAGAGCCCTAGAGAGCTCGAACCTCGCACCCCGAGGGAGGCACGCTCTCTCTCTCTCTCTCATTCTCTCTCTTTTCCCCGCTGCGCCCATCGTCAGGAGTGGGCGTCATCTCGCCATCCCTGGGACGTCCAGTCCTCGTGCATGCTTCGGTTCCGTCTTATGTTTGCTTCTCTTGCCAGAGATGATCCAGGATGCTCTTCGATGGGCCTCGCCGAGAAACAATGCACAAGTCCGAGCGATGCCAAGTCATGATCATGGGACCCAATTTCAAGACGAAGCAAGGGCGAGAATAAAATCGGGGAAGGATGAATCGAGAATCTCTGAGATCCGGCGGCTCTGGAGGATGTCTCCGGCGCCGCGGCCTTCTCAGAGCGTTCCGGAACGCCCTGGGACGGACTCGTCCTTGTCCTGGCCCCATCCGAAGCTTAGTGATGGGTGCTGGGGGCGCCTCCCCCGCTCCAGTCCACTGGCCGGAGCTGCCGCCACCCGAAAAGCACCAGGTAATTGCAGCGGGGGCCAGTCCACGAGAAACCTTCCACAAGACACCCAACCCTCAGACCCCAGGACGTCCATTGATGTTTGGCGTGGGAACGTCACGCATTCCATCGCACCCAGGGCACCCTCGTGGCAAGCAGGGTTTTCCTTGGCATGGGTCTCCACTGTACGGCAGACCTGGCCAGGCGATCCCAGCATGCTGCGTGGGCTCCTGGTCCCCATCGCCGACTGGCTCCCTCTGGCTAGAGGCAGGCCTACCTATAGACCCTGGGAGCCTTCTCCGCCGCCGCGCCCATCGCGTCCTTCGCCGCCTTGGACATCGCGTCGGCCACCGCGCCGCCGACGGCGGCCTCAGCGTCGGACGCCTTGCCGATCGGGGTCGACGCCATGGCGCCGGCGGGGGCAGCCCCAGGGTGCCAGGGCGGGTGCTCCCCACCCCCCCACCAGGAAAAAGGGGGCTTCTGGGAGGAAGAGGAGGAGGAGGAGGAGGAGGAGAAGGAGGAGCCTGAGGATCCGAGGCGGAGTCGAGGATCGAGGGCCGAGGAGCTGGGACCCAGGACCCAGGATCGAGGGCGCAGCACCCAGGACCGAGGGTCGGGGATCCAGGATCGAGGGCCGAGCGGGGAACCCCGTGGAGGAGCCCGAGGAGGGGAGGAGGGGGAGAGACGCGAGCTATACGCGCGGGGGGCCTGGCCCTGTGCAGAGCGCAGCGAGCGGGGCGTGGCGCCTCGGGTGAGGCGGCACTCGCGCCTGCACCATGTCCGCTGACGGGGCAATCGCGCCTGCCACACGCCAGGTTGGTACCTGTGGAGTCTCCATCGGCGTTGAACATCGTCGCCGTGAATGCGAGGAACTTGCATCACGGATCGTCGGCACCATTGTGCAGCTTCCATCACCTGGGTGCCAAAAAAAGAAAGGGGTCTTGCGCGAGATGGCACAGCGACCCTGCAAGGTGGCCCACGCGGGCCGCCGGCGCGGCGAGCGGCACTGAAGGCGAGGTTGCTTACGCGCGGCAACACGCGGGGAGCTTGCGCGCCAAGGTCGGCGAAGACGCCCCCGTTTGTCTTGCGTCGCCCACATGAAGCAACACTCGTACCTGCAGTATTTCTGCCGTCGGGGCACGGAGGAGGAGGGCCCAGGCTCCAGGATCGAGAAGAGAATCAAGGGGCCAGGATCCAGGATCCACAATCTGGGATCCAGAGGGGGGGCACAGGGAGGCCCAGGGTCCAGGAAGAGGAGGGGAGAGCCCTGGACCCAGGACAGAGGCTCCTGCAGGAAAGGAGGACGCAGGGTCCTGGATTGATTCCAGAGGGTAGAAATCCAGCCCCAGGATAAGCGCCCCGACAAGCGAAACCGTTTAGTGAACGCACCCAGGGCAGGAATCGAATTGGGCAGGACTGTCTAATAAACGCCCAGGGAAGTTTAGTAAACGTGAATTGTCGGGGTCTGAGTGGTTTTGTGTCCTCCCTTGATGATTCAGGCTGCAGATGGTTACAGGGTTCATGCTTCTGTTGCCGTTTTCGGCCTCCCAGGGCCATTCCTGGGCCCTGGGGCCCTGAGGCGAATGCAAGGTTGGTCCTGCCGAAGGCCCTGGGGTCCGGGCCCTCCCTCCAGGCGCATGACGAAGAGAGTGTGGTAAGTGCCCTTTGAAAGGAGGGTGGGGCAAGGGTCTCTCCAACACTGGAATGAATCCGCACCTTCGGGGAAAGTAGGTTGTGTGTCCGGGAAAGCTGAGATAACTTCTCATAAGGCTGGTTGGTCCTGCCGAAGGCCCTGGGGTCCGGGCCCTCCCTCCAGGCGCATGACGAAGAGAGTATGGTAAGTGCCCTTTGAAAGGAGGGTGGGGCAAGGGTCTCTCCAACACTGGAATGAATCCGCACCTTCGGGGAAAGTAGGTTGTGTGTTCGGGAAAGCTGAAACAACTTCTCATAAGGCTGATTGACTTCCGAGCCTTCTGAGAAGGCCAGCCCCCTCTCACTTCCCCCCCGGGCTCGCCGCCGAGATGAGGACGCAAGGGCCTTGAAGGCCATGTCGACACTTTGCGCGCGGGACGCGGCACGCGAAAGCGGCCAAGAATTAGGTCGGGTATGTCCTCCTACAGGCGGATTCCGAAGGAAGAACCATCTAATATTCTAGCATAGTCCAGAATAGCCAGAATATCGGCCCCAGACTATGGCTTACTATTTTTGAGTCTGTTCCTCCTGTAGAGGAACATGCGCGACTGGAGCGAAGCATGGGCCGAGGGGGCAGGATGCAGGGGTGACCCTGGGAAGTCGCTCCTCCCTGCTGTGCTGGTTGACTGCGTGCTTCGACCAGAGCTTTGAGTCTGGCCGCGCGTGGCCTCGGGAGAGGACTGAGGCGCCGAGGGTTAGGTCGGGCATGTCCTCCGACAGTGCGGATGTTTGACGAGACATGAGGCTTTGTATCTATACATAGATCTTAGAAATGAAAGAAAAATCGTCCCCTGACTATTCTATCACTATTCTTGAACACTCCTCCTGTAGAGGGACAGGCCCGACTGAAGCCGTCGGCGAGGGAAGGTTCGCCGGCTCCAGCTCGGCCCCGCTGCTCCTCCGCCCCGACAGGTGCCGCGCGGCCAGTGGTCCTTGCGCCCGAGCATCTCTGGGAATATACTCCCCCTGGGATGATTACTAAAGTTCGGTCGGGCGTGTCCTCCTACAGGCGTGTCCTCCTACAGGCGGATAGTCAAACAATTACCCCACAATAATCAAAAATACTCAAAAACTTGGCCCCATACGATTTGAGACAACTATTGAATGATTATTCCTCCTGTAGAGGGACACACCCGACTTAATACTAAAGTTCGGGGTTTCGGGGGGACAACAAAAATGTTCGGCGTCGAGCGGGGAGGGAAGTGAGGAGGAGGAGGCCTCCTCAGAGTCGGCAGGACTTCTCATAATCCCCTGGCGCCTTCTGGAAGGCTTTTGTTTATATATTCGGGGACGGCTTACAAAATTTCTCAGAAGGCCAGGGAACTTCCGAGCCTTCTGAGAAGGCACGCCTCTTCTCACTCCCCCTCTGGGCCGACGAATTTGTCCCAGCAGGTCGCAGCACAATGATTCCTTGTGGTGTCTGCGAAGTGGACCTTGCCCTGTCGCCTGCGCAACGCTATCTGCACCTGCTCCTCGAGCGCCGAGAGAAGACCCCAAACTCCCGACCTCATGATACTGCTCAGCGTAGGTTTTTCGCCAAACTCCCAGAGGCCAGCATTCCATCCTGGACAGTTTTGACACAGGCCCAGGCTCCAGCGAAGACCCCAGAGGGCGGAAACAATTGAAAACCTCCGCATGTGATCGTTCAATACCCCTGGCTTTCGGATCGCAGCTCAGCTCTCCAGCGGCCGTTCGGGGCGGTCCGGGCACGCCCAAAACAATCTCAACGAGACGCAGCCACTGGAAGACATCCTGAGGCTGGAAGACCGCTAAGAACCCACGAAAACGTCCGCCAACCTCGTACCTCGAAACTCCTCCTCCTTCTCCTCCTCCTCCTCCTCCTCGTCCTCGTCGTCTTCCTCCTCCTCCTCTTCCTCCTCCTCCTCCTCCTCCTCCTCCTCCTCCTATACCTCCTCCTCCTCCTCCTCCTCCTCCTCCTCCTCCTCCTCCTCCTCCTCCTCCTCCTCCTCCCCCAGAGCCTGCAGTGTGTCAACTTGCCATCGCGGCGACGCCCGTCCCTCCTGCATTCTTTGGTGTCGTGCGTTTTTTTGTTTTTGCTCTGCAGGAGGGCCCACAATGCTGCCCGACGGCTCTTGCCGAGAGACTGCACACGTCCGAGCGATGCCAGGCTGGGATCCCACGCAAACGCCTGAACACCTCGGGCCTCGAGGACCCCGAGCCTGCAGCTTGTCCATGCAGTCCACCCGCATAGCAGAGATGCGCGATTCTCCCACGGGTGCCCTTGCATCCCTGCCTCCTCGAACCCATCCTTGGGCTCGAAAAGCTCCCGAATGGCCTTCCAGTCCAAGGCCCCTCGCATCCTTCCCGTGCGCCCTTGGGATGCGGGCCGACGGCACCGTAGGGCGTGGAGGGCCCGCCGCGCAGCACGAACCCAGCGGCGGGCGAAGGAGGCGCTGGGCGCGCGGGTCCCCCCCCGGGACGGGGAGGCGACGCCAGGCCAGGAACCCGGGCCAGGCAGCCGCGAGAAACGTCCGAAGACCGGGGGCCTCGAGGACCCCGAGCCTGCAGCCTGTCCCTACCCTGGGGCGTCGCGGGGGCGCCGCGCAGCACGGGTCCCGCGGCGGGCGAGGGGGGGCGCTGGGCGAGCGGGCCCTCCCCAGGACGGGGACGATCTGTCCCGCGGTCCCGCCGCCGCCACGGCAAGCCCGGAGGCCGGACGATGGCCTAGGAGGAGAAGGAGGAAGAGGCGGAGGAGGAGGAAGAGGAGGGGGAGGCGGAGGAGGCGGAGGAGGAAGAGGAGGAGGAGGAGGAGAAGGCGAAGGGGAGAAGGAGGCGGAGGAGGCGGAGGAGGAGGAGGAGGAGGCGAAGGAGGCGGAGGGAAAGAAGGAGGAAGAAAAAAAGGAGGAGGGGGAGGAGTTTTTTTGTTCGCCCAGGGCTCCCAGGTGCGCCGCGGGCGTCGCGCGGGCGCCCTCCGAAGGCTGCGCGGGCGGTCCGACGCGGAGCCCCCCGAAGCGGACGACGAGGGGACGAGGGAGAAGAGAAGGAAGACGAGGGCGATGGGCAAGCAACGACAACCCCAAAGCGCAGAGACGACAACGCGAGAGGACAGGAAACAAGAGGGGACGCGACAGGACGAGGAGGCAAGACGAAAAGAGCCAGAACGACACGAGAAGAACGGGCCCGAGCTCTCAGTCTCCATCCCGTAGAAGGGGACGCGGAACGCGACGAACAGGCCGGGGTAAGCCACTTCCAAGACACATCTGGGACCAGGAGCACGAAGGGCAGGAAGAAGCCCCCGATACCCGCACCAGCCAAGTTCAGCCATCACCGCCATCTCTGTGAGCATCGCATCCCATTGAGGAGTGCCATATGACGTAGCTCGCAAGCTGGCACCACAGCGACCTCATCAAAAGTAGGATAAATCACAATGCGTAGGCTGGACTCGACTACAGCTTCAATCTTCCCCGTGCGGCCGATGAGCTCGCCCTCAAGAACAACGCCCGATCGTCCAATGAACAATGAGAAAGGCCAGCGATGATGCGCACACAGACTTGCAATCGACACGCCCACGTCGTCGATGGGACACTCGAAAGAAAACTCCTGAGGCCAGACCATCTCCCGCACCACTGCCGGAGGACAAATACCAGACGCACACCTCGAGGAATGACCGCGTTCGGACGAGAGCCGGCAGGCTCACATATATCATAGAGGACGGACAGCTCCAGGCACCACTTGAGAAACTGTAGCCACCAGCTCCGCGAGGGCGCGGCGAACGCCGCCTTGGCCACCATCGTCAGAAATAGTCGCAGTCGTACAAGCCAAACGTGGACTCACGTTGGCCTCACCAGG